TAGGGTTTAGGGTTCAGGGTTCTGTGTCAGTGACTGTGCAAGGTGTCTAGAGTCCGAGGGTATGCAGCTGGAAGATTTCAGGCTTCTAATGTCGGCCTGGAGCCTTCTGGGACAGTCATATCTCAACGTGCTTACCATTCTGCCCCGCAAGCCCTATGCTACCTATGAAGACCCTTACATCAACGCCCATTTATTGGCCCAACTGTCCTCCTCAGAGCCAAAGAACCGAGTTTCTCGAGCCAGAGGCTTGTTGAATCAGAATAGAATTACTTCTGGCTCCTTTGAGGGCTCGCCTACCGTTTCTATGTGAGGGCGCTGGTGTTCAATATAGGGGTCTTGAAAATGAAAGCAGTTTTTTGGGAGGGTGTATGAAACAAGCAAGTCATGCAGGAACTATCCGGGGATAACCTTGCAAATTCTTAAGGCCTCTATGTTACACTTACACTGGATAGCTTATACAGCCGCGGCATGGGGTTTGCGGCTGAGGTCCTGATTCAAACCTAAGCCCAAGCACCCTAAATATTTACGGGCCTATACTATAAAACCCTCAAGCTCAAACCTAAAATCCCTAAACCCTAAACCCAAAAACCCCAAAACATGAAGCACCCCACAAGTCGAAACCACCCGTCCCATTCGGCAAAGTCGCATGTTCTCCAGAACGCTCCGGTCATTGTACGTCAGCGCCAAGTCGTGCCCGGCATTGGTGCAGAACCTCATAGGATTTAGGGTTTAGGGTTTTGGGTTTAGTAGTAAGATAAGGTCTGCACAACATGCAGGCCTTGTTAGAACAGCGTTTTGGGGCATATGGCAGTATAACTGTGCTAAGGGAACCCCAAGGCGGCATGTTGGTATTTCTACAGGCCTCCATATTCAACCAGTGCTGATATCACCTTAATTACGTATAACTCTCTGCCGCATCATACCGCAGATGCCCGATTCCAAATTCCTACTACGGCCTTGATATTGTGGTGTACGAGGTTACAAGCAACATGAATTTTCAGACCCACAAGCCGCAAAAAAAAAAAAAAAAAAAAACATCCAAGTACCCTTTCGTGGAATCCTTACAATCCTGAACAGTGAGTCATGGTTTTGGGGTTCTAAGGGTAGTTCGAGTCTGGGACCCCATAAAACCCTAAAGCCCTCTCAAGGTTCCGGTGTGCTTCGTGGGTTGCGGCTGTCAGGGTGTTGCGGTTGAGACGAGATCGCGCATGACAGTGGCGCATGACAGTGGCGAACCCATCGTGTATATCAGCTGGGAGTAGCACACACCAGCACGTTGCAAGGCAAAGACGGACGAACCAGGCATGTAAGCAAGAGGCGATGCTCAGTGCTTCTTGTTCCTGCAGTCCTGCTCCTTGACATCCTGGGCTGGAGCGTCGTCTCAGGAAACAGTGGCCCGCAAAACTACGTGCGCGTATGAAAGCATCGAAATCATTACTGCTGCCGAGCTGCGGATATCATGAAGAATCCCCGCCAGCCGTCAAAGATGGAGGGGGTTACCGAGTAGGTGTAGGGCGTGCCGACTATGTTGCAGTCCTTCATCCTCCTGCTGAGCCACCTTTTGTCTTTTAGGAGTTGGTCGGCCGATGCAGGAGATCGATCGGGCATCTTCCG